AGTGGAGGTACATCTCTATTATTCTTGGCCTCGGCACCACATGGAGGTGAGTAGTCACCTTCACGCCTCGGCCACTTTAACTCCCGGATAATCACTGAAGGTTAGTTAAAGGTAAATTGTAAAATTGATCCTGCGCCTGATTAATTACGCACTATGTCATGAAGACGTATGGGAAAGTGGAGGTACATCTCTATTACTCTTGGCCTCGGCACTACTACGCCTCGGCCACTTTAACTCCCGGCGGAAGAGCCACCGGTACCCATAGGGTAGAAGGCTGGGTGGGCCCACACCCACTCTTGACACTGTGGAGTAAAAAAACATTTCTTGCCCCTGCTGCGAATCGAACCCCGGTCATCCCGCCCGTAGCTATACCGATCGAGCTGGAAAAGCAAAATGCGGCCGAAACATTGTTTCCGCTGCAGCCAAAGAAACGTCAGTTTGGTTGATATTCTTTGTGAGGGCATCACTTGGTCAGCCAACCGCTGTTGAGAGTCGTCACGGGTTACCAACGTTACCAACACATGTGCCACTCTTGAAGGCTGACAGGTAGACCCCAAGGGCGGGGCTGCGTTGTGTCATGTCATTTCTCTCCAAATCGTTTCCCATCTCTCAACTGATTTCCTGACGAATATGGCTGCTTCTCATTTTAGCAGTCAGTGATGCGTCAAGTGCATGAACCGTGCTGTGACCGAACGGACCATCCGATCTAAGAACCAGGACACGTCATAACTTGTGTAGGCAACCTTACGGAACAAAACTACCCGCTCAAGTACGTTTCAATTTCCCACCAGCGTATGAATATATACAAAACTATAATTTTCAATGTAGTTTTGTATGGGTGTGAAATTTTGTCTCAAATATTAAGGGAAGAACATAGACTGAAGGCGTTTGAGAACAGGGTGATGAGGAGAGTATTTGGAACGAAGAGAGATGAAGTGACAGGAGGTTGGAGAAAACTGCATAATGAGGAGCTTCATAACTTGTACTCTTCTCCAAGTATAATTAGAATGATCATGTCAAGGAGAGTGAGATGGACAGGGCATGCAGCACGTACTGGTGGAAGTTGAATGCATATAGGGTTTTGGTGGGAAAGGCAGAAGGAAAGAGGAGTTTAGTTAGTTACCGGCGTATTAACACCGGTAGTTTGTTGAAAATATAATATAGTAGTGTTTCGTTGATGTCGTAAAGGTCTACGTCACTAACTGACGATGACGCACACTCGATCCTATAGCAGATCGAGTGCATATCCTGTCTAATCAACCTATACAGAACTAGCCTGCACTCTTCCATTTCCGCAGCAAAAAGAGCCGATAACAACCTCCCACATAATACACAAGAATACATATCCATACAGTCAATCCGAACCACGAGAAGTCAGTAATAAAATATAAACTCTATAGAAATTACGAGCCAAATCATAAATATCTGTCACGGAAGTGTTGGTACACAATCATGCACTTCGTTGGAACAGAGAAGGGACAAAGGGTAGTCACTTCGCCTTGAGGGAGGCAACAGCAACGACATCCGAAATGTCGGCAATACATCCAACTTCTAAGAGCGTGGCATCCCCCCCCAAAACCAGCTGTCAGAATCTCAAATCGTCCAAGAAAGTGGTTGTTGCTGCTGTCTTCGTCGTGTTCCTACTCGGAATATACGAACTTTACCATTACCGTCGTCAGAGCCCTTTAGAATATACCTTTACAGTACTCTGTTACATCTCCAGACACTGCCCTACCTCTCAACGTGTTTCTGCTCTGAATGCATTTGAAAGGCTATCCCTGTAACAGGCCGTGGAGGCCCATAGGGTTATGAGACGTCGAGGATCCCACAATTATAGACAGCAGGCTCACAGATGGTGGTAAGGATATCAGTCTTACGCGCCGGCCGCCCTTTATCCCCAGAAAGATTCCTGGTACTCATTTCTGTTAGAGGCTGAGTCGATCCCAGGGTCATAGTGCGGCTGGAAAGATTAGGCCAATTGAAAAAATCCACCTCATCGGAACTCGAACTTGCGACCTTCCAGCTTCTAGCATAGTGCCTCAATCAACTACGCTACCGCGTGCCCCTGTAAATCTACAGATATATTTAGGAACTCTCGTTTAAATATAAAGAGCCTCAACTATTTTTTTTTGTTTGTTTTGTCCTGTGTTGTCTTGTTGCTGTTGTTTGTATTCGTGCTGACTCTGTAACTGACCACTGGCTGTTGAGCTCACCATGTAAATGAATAAAGAACTCAATTATTATTATTATTATTATTATTATTATTCACTGATGAACTACCTCTTTAAACTAATTCCTATCATTCTTATCNTCTTCATATGTTTTCTGAAATGTGAATAACATGGAAGCGAAGTGTTCTTTCTTTTCTCCTTTAGGTCATTTTTCTGGATTTTTTTCGGTCATTTTTTTAAATATTTTCAGGTCATCAAAATGCGGGCCCTGCATATTACATTTCTGGGTCATATTTTAGGTCATTTTTTCTGGATTTTTCGGTCATTTTATAGGTAATTTTTTAAATATTTTCAGGTCATCAAAATCCGGGACCTGCTTATCAGTCATATTATTGGTTACTTAAAAATCCGTTGCCTAGTAACTTCAGATTCAACGGAACCGAGAGATGATTATAAAAGAGTGTACAAACGCCATACACGCGATTATTTTTACGGATAATATGTATGTAGGGGCTATAAGCTGAAAGTACTGCAGAAACATACATCAGCACAGCTGGTTCGTAACGAAAGTTAACAACACGTGCGATGCCTGGAGATGCATTTAAGAGACCGCAATGGTGACAATTCGAAATGCAGCACAATCTTATCTTGGTTCCGGGAAACTGAACGCCTACACGTAATTTCCTATATCCTTCCGAATTGGTGAGGACGAAATCAAAACAACCAAGCTTCAGTGACACTTCGTGAAAAATATCTGAGGCACAAACAAAGCAGAATTCTGGTTAATCAAACGTGATAAGATATTCTGTATTCTAATGTGAAGATCCAGCCGGTCGCGGTAGCCGAGCGGTCTAAGGCACGTACTGTCTTCGCTCTCTTGGAAACCGGGATCGTGGGTTCGAATCCCACTCAGGGCATGGATGTTTTGTGTGTGTGTGTGTTTTTCTGTGTTTGTGTACAGGTAGAGGCCTTGCGACGAGCTGATCACCCGCCCAAGGAGTCCTACCAAATGTGTAAGATCAAGAAAAACCGAAGTGAATGGAGAAGTTCATGGAGGTAGGCCTAGGCCCACTGGGGCTGTAGTGCCAAGGGGGAAAAAAATGCGAAGATCCAGCGTCACTGAAAATCTCTGTGAACACAACAGTTTTACATACGACGTACATATGTTTGTATACACGGGTCTTCACCACTGAGTCAAATTTTTCCATTCATCTTTCTAACTAACGTACACCTGGGATCTTTCGCCAGCAGTAAAGTAATCGGCCCATGAAACCGATAATCTCTTCCATCCAGTGCTAACATTAACCATCCAAAGCATAGTGGTTACTATATCTACCACATGATTTAACATATCAAAACTGTGCATTCCTGAGGCACGAAATAAATATCTGTAATTTATTTAGAAGAAGTCCAGTCTCTGTTTCTTTTTAACTGTCAGATCCGTCAGACAGTAAAACACAGTCTTGAGTCCTGTGGGACTCGGAACCAAGAATCACTGTGCTGGTGAGGCCCAGCAGCAGTTCATCAGTTAGTCTTTAAACGGTTAAGAATCTGTAAAGCTGTCCCACATTCACCAATATGTCTCGGTGTAGTGCCTACTTAAGCACAAAACAACATTCTACACATTTTATCCATGTGTGCAGAAGATTGCATTAAGTGAAATGTTTTTGGTCGGGCCTTATAAAATTCCTGTGCCTCTAGCGCCATAACTGGTACTCATTTCAGACGCAGGTTGATCAGTGCTGGTCCATCGGTTGTCCTGGGTATACATATTCAAATGCTCTTTAACCTCTACATATCCTACAGCCGATGCCCACTCAGAAAGCGTCCAGTCTCCTTTGATTCCTTCAATCCATTTGTAGACGTTACCCTCGCTCATATAGCGGTCGCCATATTGTACTGTTATTATGTAGCTTATCTCGCCAGTTTTCGGAGCCTCTGGCGATAAGAATCGGATCAGAGATCATTACATTATTTTACGTATTCTATTGATGAAGCAGGAATGTTCGCGCGCTAGATGGACTGTCATTACTACATAAAAAAATAACTCCGTGGCCTGGAGTCGGCAAGCGAGCTATACCGATCGAGCGACCGCCGCTTTTCGGCGAAGTTAGTGCCAAATTTAACGGATAGAGGGTGTCACGTGGTCAGCTCAACGGATCCCCACGGCCGCTAATCTCGTTTTTTTTAGACCAGAACACTAAGATAAAAAGAAAGGTAAAGCTATCCCTGTAATAGGCCACGGAGACCATTAGGGTTGTGAGACGTTCAGGGTTTCACATTATCTAGACAATCGGCTCACAGATGGAGGTAAGATTGTCAGCCTTACGCGCCGGCCGCCCTTTACCCCCAGGAAGATTCCTGGTACTCATTTCTGTTAGAGGCTGAGTGGACCCCAGGGCCATAGGGCGGCTAGAAGGATCAGGTCAATTGAAAAAAAATCCACGTCATCGGGACTGGAACCCTCTACCTTCCGGCTTGTAGCATAGTGCCTCAACCAACTGCGCTACCGCGTGTCCCCGTCACTACACTAAACACAATGAAAGGAAACTAACTGTAAATGAGGAAACGTTTATGTTCTTCACATCCGCCATCAGTTTCGGTGCTGCACAGACACTCCTGAAGTAAACTAAAACTGCCTTTACTTTTTGACCTTCCCTCGTATTAAACAGATCTAGACGTCGAGTTCAAAGACATGACTGGCGAACTAAACCTATGAGAGTTTCCTTTGGCTACTTTATTGCCGAGAATAAGATACGTGGACGAAGCGTCAAGAGCCCATGATGATCTAGCAGAATGTACGTGTATCTTCTTAAGCGTAATACTCACATCTTTCTCCCTGGTGGATGCGATCTCGCGCTTCTCTCGGCCGTGGTATATGCGGGGCTTGATGACGGTGTGTCGGGAGAACTCCGGGGCTGGTCCCCGTCGGGCTGCAACAATAGAACACGGCAGTGTAGACCCCGGCTTACGGATTACAGATGAATGACGCACACACTGACGTTTATAGCACAATATTCGAAACGTTGTAAGAATTAAACACCAGATAGCAATACACACAATATAAAAGACAGACTCAAACCCAACTTAGCACTGTAACAAGCAGGAGTGATACAAAATCATGATAATGAAAATGTTCGCAAAATTGGACAAGGTGAAGCCCAACAGAGACAATATAAAAGGCTTAAACTTGGCGGCGGTCAAGCATACGACCGTTCAAGTGACTAGACTGCCGTTGTAGCGGAAGGTACTAGAAATAGGGCATAATATGCTGTACTGAGCCTGGACTGACAGAGGCCTTGTATATATTGTATACACAGACATTTGGTAAGAAGTAAGATGCAAATAATTGTACATATTTTGACGTGGATGGCGCAACGGGAAGTAGGGGTCACGTGAACTCTGCGGTCTCGCGAGTGACGTCACATAACCCCACTCCTTCCATCAGTCCGCAACGCTCGGTAAACGCCCCTTTCGCCACGGTGACGTAACAGGGGAGCAACTGTGTCAGGTAACCATTGCCGCGGTGACGTAACAAGGGATACCGCGGTTAATACACAGCAGTAACCAACTCTCGACAGTGTTGCTAGGCAACAGCGGCACCTATCACGTAACTGTTTTCTGTGTTGTCCGTGCCGAGGATAGAACACTATTCAGTAATGAGGATTGAGCCAGTTACTAGAGAGAGAGTAACCAGTCAGTTGCAGTCTAGCATTCGCCGGAGTGAATGGAAGCAGGAGACGTAATTGTGATACTGCAGATGGCAGTAATTGTGGAACTGTAAATTGTGTAAATGTAAGAGCGAGTGGAATAAATTCGCTATATCCAGGACGGCGTGAAGTTATTTGTCGCGTTACATACCCAACACGTGACAATATTGACAACTGACTATATTGCTGACTCTGACTCTGACAAATGACAGACCTGTCCTCTCGTCAGACAGGGCGCCCCCACATAGACAGGACAGTAACTTTCAAACAAGAAGAAATATCTAGTCATGAGCCCCCAGATGAGACTCGACACCAAGACAGACAGACTGACTAACCGTCAGTTGCAATGTGACTTGGATTCTGACTTAACTTAGAACTTAGAACTTAACAAAAGACAGACTCGTCCTCGCGTCAGAGAGGGCGTCCCACAATGACAAGAGAGTAACTATCAAAAAGTAACTAATATCTGGTTATGAGTCCAAGATGGGGCTCGACACCAAGATAGACTGACTGAACGTCAGTCGAAATGCGACTTTGACTTTGACCAGCTTAGCAAACACTAGCAGTTTCTGCCTCTACCGGGATTTGAACCCCGACCGTCCAGCCCGTAGCCCATCTCCGTACCGTCTGAGCCACCCCGGCTGTTAGATGCAGCATCATAAACAACTGTAAACGGAGTGACGCAATGCTTAGCGTCGGTTTTCTGGTTTGAGCTGCGTTGTTTACTCTGGAGCCATCTTTTTCCCCTTTCTACATTCCATGTCCTAATACTTAAAGTCCATGAGAGCATATTAACAATTGGCTTCGCTTTCCCCTGTTCTTATTCCATTCCTGAGATGTATACGGTTGTTTTGCCTACCCATGACATTACACTCTGATGATGAAAACTCAAATGTTTGTCGAAATAATGGAAGGAGTTCCACAAATGGTCCGGCTCAAGCAAGAAACTCTATCCCATAGTCCACTTTCAGCATCGGCCGAGGTCACAATTGGGCAAGAATGGAAGATAAATGCTTCAAAACACTGGTCCTTCAGGACGCCCAAAAGTTGATAACGATGTTGAACCTTCTACTAATAGTTTAGAGAAGTTTAAATGCGGACATTCCTTCGTGTTGTGAACCAGTCGTCAGTTCGCCAAGTCCGGACGTGGTGTTGCGTAAGTTTGTTGGCAGGACGCGGGAGAGGGGAGGCGGCATCGCCGGGCCGTCGGACGCCAACGTCCACACAGTGCAGTTTGTCGGTATGCCCGAGATTGGGAGGTCGCCAGAACACAGGACTTAATTCCACACACCTCGCTAATATATAAACGCGCTAAAAAAATTCACAAGTCGCCATTTCATTTTCTTGAGAATCAAATTAATCACCCGTCATAATTTGGGCAATTTCCAGTTGGCAACTGTAAGACGAGCAGGAACGTCTGGATCTCATAAGAGATTCGGAGAGGTCCCAATAACATCATCTAGTGCGGCACTGTGGCATGCTACCTGCGCTTCACGGTAAACTACTTCCTTACCGCTGTAACTAATGACTGATCAGCTCACACTCATCACATGGAGGTATGTGTGCCTATGAACTGTGGCAGTTAAGCAACCTCTCTGATTCACTGCCACCAAGCTTTGTGGATCACAGCGGCCGCGCGGTCTAAGGCATGAAATGTCTTCTCCCGCTCGAACATTGGGATCGTGAGTTCGACTCCCACTCAAAGCATAGTCTGCGTTTATTCTGCTTGTGTCGCCCTGCGTAGGTAGCGGCCTTGCGACGGGCTGATCCCCCGCCCACGGAGTGCTACCGACTTTGTAGGATTTAGAAACTGAAGTGAAACGAAATGTTTCACGGATATCCTATGCTCCAAGTGGGAATAACAAGAATGAAGATAGATACAGCAGAGTCACCAAGCTTTCGTGAGTGTAGTCATCTTTAGAGTACCCACATTCTGACTTCATGCGCAAATTCAAGTGTCAGTCATACCAAGAAACATTTCGGGAAATAATTTTTCGAAACTTAATTCAGTATTCTCGTCATAATGTTCTGGGGCGATTCAAAGCTCTTTCAAGGAGGTTCTTCAGTAATCGGAACACAAAAAAGTAATGCGAAACAACATTGGGTAGACCAATGGGCGTTCAAACACTTTTTCTTTAAGAAAAGTCGCTTTACTGTACGTGTTACGTGTCAAATGGCACTGGCGTGTTGCAGACGCTACGTGATCGGCTATAGATTTCGACATCTTGAAAGAACAGTGCAGTACACACGGAAGAAGTCAAAGAAAGCTTGACTTGCTGATTCGGAAGAACAAATTAGGAATGGAAAACTCATTTGATGTCTAAATAGTAAGTTAACATCAACAAGGTTTCGAGTCTTGCTTTTGAAGTTTGCGCTAATTTTCATTCTAGGCTCTTCCATTCGAGGCATGGTGTTTTGTTTCTGGGTCGGTCTACAAGACCAAAACCCTCATCACAAATCACAATATTTTTTCCAAGACTTGGGAATCTTCCAAGAATCTTGTACAAGTTTCTGAGCAAAATTTCTTTACTCATAATTTATTCACAAACAAATAAAACACTTCATCAATGTAACATTTTAAGCAACCACAAAACAGTGGAACCTCTGTCGTCTAATGGTCAGAGTTCCTGGCTACAAATCCAGAAGTCCCGGGTCTGATTCACGGCGCTACCAGATTTTCTGAGAAGTACTGGGTCTGGAACGGGGTCCACTCAACCTCGTGTGGATAATTGAGGAGTTATTTGAAACAAATAGAGGCTCCGGTCTAGAAAACTGCGCCGACAACGCGACACCCTCTATCCACTAAATTTGGCACTAACTTCGCCAACAAGTGGCGGCAGCTCGGTCGGTATTGTTCGCTTAAGGATTTAAGCCAAAAAGTTTTTACAAAATAGTCGAATCCAAAAAATGATAGACATAAAACTGCTGGTCGTGACTAATATTTGCCAATTCAACAGGAGGCTATTTACTGGAAAGAAAGTCAGTCTGGCTATTTAGTTGTCAGCCTTCATAGAAACAGGAAATCTGCCAGTTGTGACACACTTGAGTCCAATTTCGAATAGGATCGCTGTCCCCTAACCAGACTATTATAAATAGAAAACACATTATGAAGGCGTAAAATACATTCATGTTATCTAAAATTATGGACTGCAAGCATAAATGTAACCGCCGAAGACTGGAATTAACTGGTTTTATTAAGTTTAATATGGCTGACCTTTTTAATTTTAATTTTAAGTTGTACCTTTAGTTTTCATTAAGGAGCACAGATAATTATCAACGTGCAATTGTGACACGTAGTACAGTACAACAGTTTAGCATAGCGACAGACACCTGATGATGGCCATGTATGGCCGAAATATGTCGCGAAAGAAATTACATATATATCCTACGAAATAATTCATATATACTGGTGCAACAAGATGCTCAAATACAATGTCATGATTACATAATAAGCATAAACATGTACCACCAAACAGGTGTCTCTAGAGATAAAGCTCTATGCTTGTAACCGGGAGGTGGTCGGTTTGAGTCTCGGCCGTGTATTTCTATGTANAATCCTCAGGGCAGCCGGTGTCACATATATATATGTGACACCGGCTGCCCTGAGGATTTTAGCGATTATTTTCAGTCCCTTCAGGCAAATTACGGAATAGGACTCCGATTAGGGAACAACCTGTTGCTTCCAAATCCTTTTCAATCCATCATTCATCAGTCATTTTACCACCTAACGCTATATAGTTTCTATACAAAAAAATTGTTAAAAAACTCATAAAAACATGAACCTATCCTCCAATATTTTAAAAAAATATGAAAATTGGGATAGAGACGTATGTGGGTGGATAATATTAAAATTGATCTTACAGTGATAGGATCCATGGGTATGGACTGTATTGATCTGGCTTAGGCTAGGGACCAGTGGAGAGATTTGTCAACACCCTAATATACTTTCGAATACCATAAAGTATTGGGAAGTTCTTCAATAACTGCAAAACTGACAGCTTCTCAAGAATGGTTCAACTCCATGAAGTAAGTTACATATAGCGCCTCACTGCTCTTTGCTAGCGTTGGCTTTACCATCAAAGCCGCCACTGCCACAAGCCGTTGTAGTGCCAATAAATTCTCTACTTCTTATTGTAAGAATCATTTCGATAGCAACCTTGTCATGTCAAAGACGAAATTTTTTCCACCTTTCCCGATTTATTCTTGATTCTTGGATATAATCA